AGCAGCAAAAACCTTCAAATTCCTCTTGGAGTTAAAGCTCACTCCACCAGGGGTGTAGAGACATCTTGGGCCCTTTTTAAAGGGGTATCTGTGAGTGACATTTGTGCCGCAGCCAGCTGGACCTCACCAAACACATTTGCACGATTTTACAGCCTGGATGTAACAGCACCTTCAGTGGCTCATTCTGTACTTTCTGCCGAGTCCAAAGCTCTGCATTAGTACAGTACTTACTCAGGCACACTACTTAACTCAGGTCTGATACTGCTCTGCGGGGCGCTTTGACAAGTCCCATATGCAACTGTATGTTGTACTGAGTGAAATGACCGAAAAGGAACGTAAGGTTATGAATATAACCACGGTTCCTTAAAGGAATGGAACGAAGTACAACARCTTGTTGGCCCCGCATCACAAAGGCTCGGCGAAGGGCGGTATCTGACTGAGTAATGACGCCGGTGACTCCGAACTTATAGGGTGAAGGCGGAGCCTGTCACCCGACGTTCAACGTCACCATGTCACCGGTCTAAAGACGTGGGCTGTGTCCAAAACGGCAGGCCGGGTCCTCCGAAGGCTGAATTCGTCGGCCGCATACGTCACAGCGCCGCGACGAAGGCCGTCCAAAACCGAAGACTCCTCCGATGCAGCCGACAAATACGTCCTTCCTTTCCCCCAATTTGAAGGACAGGTCTGATGGATCCTTCCCGGCCCAGTATATCCCATAATGCATTGCGGCCCGACTGGAGATTTTTTTTAAGCTAGTAATGGCGGACGAAGTGAGAGAAAAGAACACGTTTTAAATAAAAAAAAATATGGCGATATAAAATTTTTTTTAAATTAGCGGTTGCAATTCTAATACTTTTATCATTTGTATGGACATGTTTTTACATATTATTTTTATCATAAAAAACGCGAAATAAACATGCACCTACAGCAGGTCAATTAGTTCTTCAAATGTTACCTTTAAGTTCATTTCATTGTTTTATGATATTAATAATGCTAATATATCAATATTTTTTTTCTAATTTTGATCTATTTTTGCTTCTGTTTAGCATCGTCATGGTTGCTAGGTGACATGACGTAGGCCGGGGTGGAGGGGAGGCTAGACCGTCCAAATTCACAGCCCCTTTTTTTCCGGTCTTCCTGGTCTACCAAGGACCCGGCCTGTTGTTTTGGACACAGCCAGGCGCGCGTGTCCCATATACAACTGTGTGTTGTACTTCGTTCCATTCCTTCAAGGAACCGTGGTTATATTCATAACCTTATATTTTTTAAAGAAAACACAATTGTTTTTATCTAATATTTCATTGTCTATATTTTGTTTACCTACTAGTTTGAAGTGCACTTCTTTTCTTTTAAACAATTATAAGTGCATAATGTCACCTATACTGCAGATGTAAGCAGAAAAATAACAGTTCTCGTGCTCTGATCTGTTATTAGTTTGTTTTATAAAAACACTCAATCCTGCTCATTCCAGGAGGCTAACGTTACCTGGCGGCTAACTTGAATTAGCTCCAAAAAGCGAGAAAAATCTTATATTTTTAGTCCAAGTATGTGGTCAGTATTTTACTGTATTGGCGATAATTTAAATAATCCAAAATAATCTGCAGCAGTCGCCGGCTGTCCTTGAAGACGACAGCTCAGGGATGAACGGACTGCGGTTCCGGGGTTTTTGTTGCGGACTAACTGCTCGGAACGTACCGGTGAAGGTGCCCGGCGGCCCGCAGCGCGGTTCGGAGGCAGCGTCTGGTGCAGTACATGCTGGCTTTATCTGGAGTTGCTCGGCAGACAGTCCCGCTACAACTAAATCAAGTTTATTATCACAGACCTGCTTCCAGTCTCCCCCTGGTTCAAAGGCACATGGCGTCCTCTCTACGGCTGACCTACCCATAATGCACCGCGCCGTTTAGGAAGACTACGGAAGCCCATGAGAGACAATAAACAACAAGAATAGCGCTGCACTTTTTTTCAAAAGTTATTTTCTAGGATGGTGGATAAAGATAATTTGATTCAGCTTTGATTCATCAGTTTTGATACTTAATTATATGCTTGTACATGTATGCAGAATGTAAGTAAAACCACAGATAATTGTAATGACTAATCGAAAGAGTTTATTTCAAAATATTTATGCAGCATTTTCAGAACTGCATGGTTCTGTGCAACTAGTGGTTAGGTTTTTATATCCTGAAGAGTTGTTTTTACAGATTTATTTTACTGTTGTATTGTTTTATTCTGGTAGTGTTTGTGTTTCACACGTATTGCACTAGGGTGGAGCTCAGTGTGAATCCTCTTAACCAGGTAATCTGTGCACCCATCTGCTGCTCCAGTCATCCATCACATCCACTCCACACCAACGTGCCACCTCCTCAGTAGCCTCTGTGACTCAACTCAAAGGAAGGTATGAATCATGGTGGCTGCATTGGTGGCTGATTTTTTTTTTAAATCATTTGTGACATGATTTGTCTCTCCATCCTCCAGACCATGCTGCTGTCCCCTCAGGCAGAGAGAAACTGGGAGGATCTCTGCTCAGTGCTTGAAGAGGTCCTGGAGGACCAGTCCCCCCGGAAGCTGTTTGCCTTGGAGCTCGGCTCTGGAACTGGACAGCATGTCATACGCTTTGCCCAGAAAATCCCTTTTGTTACTTGGCAGCCATCGGACATCAAAGAGGAGTACCGGGACAGGTTTGTGTTTTGCAGAAAAGGCTTTTGGAACCAACCCATTTTCCTCTGAACATCACATTGATTAAAAAAAAAAGCTGTGAAGGCATGTGTACACTTTGTTTACAGTATAAAGGCTTATATCGATGCAACCCAAGCAAAAACTGTGCTGCAGCCCATCTTCTTGGATGCCAGCGAACCTTGGGAGAAATGGGCCGGCCTTTCTCGCAACTCCTGTGATGTCATTATTGCCATCAARCTCTTACAGTACAGCTCTTTCAAAACAGCACAGGTATATTCATCTAAAGCAACAACTAAGGCTCCTACATTTTACTGAGCAATTCTAAGTATAAAACTTTTTTTTTTCTTTGAATGACCCCTTTTCTGTTTTCCCAAGGGTGTTTTCAGTGGAGCAGGTCAGCTCCTCAAACAAAATGGCCTTCTGATAACACATGGGGTATGTAAGAACCATAGTTTTATTTCAGTATAAACTATAATTCATATAGTTAACATGTGGAAAACTGTTCCAGGTGTTTGCTGTTAATGGAATCATCACACCGAGTTGTAACGAACATCTGGATGAAGAGCTTCGAAAACTGTAAGTAGAATATTTTTAATAGATGCGACAGATTTTTATAATAAATGTCACACTCATCTTAGTGTCATCTTAAAGTGATAACTTTTTGCGTATAAAATGTAAAACTTGAGTTTTGAAATGTGTTTTTTGGGAGCATGGTTATAAATGATTGCATAATATGGTTGCAGGAATCCAGAGTGGGGTCTTCCAGACATTGATGTGCTCAGACAGCAGGCTTATGGAAACGGCCTGCGTTTAGAGAGGATGGTAAGTTAATTTACTCTCTATCTACAGCACTACCAACATATGTTTAATTCCTGTAACGTTCTTTTTTTCAGATTGAGATGGAAGATTACTACAAATGCCTCATCTTCAGGAAACTCTAAAGTGTTAAATGTAAAACATATCTTACCAACTGAGTATACCTTTTTTTTCCCCCAGAAGCCACACACACAAATATCTGCTTTTTAGTCCAACATTGTTTTTTTTTTAATTATAATTTTTTTACCTTTTGTATTTCTGACTAAACCTGTTTTCCACACCTTATAACTGAGCATAACACTCAGGTGGGGAGGAGGACATCTCAGACCCATAGTGGCAACTCTTAACCACTTTAAGAGTCCTCTGGAGCAGTCTTAACTTTTCTTGAGAGTAAGAGTGGTTCTTAGACTTAAGAATTTTGATAACTGGCACTTACACTTAAGTCTGAGTAGGAGCAAATCTAAGAAATTTTCCGCACTTAAGTCTAAAAAATCCACTAAGAAGTTTGATAAATCAGATCTAATTTGATGCAGGTGTTAGTTATGGGAATGAAAATTTACAGGGTGATTCCATAATCTTTTCTCTTTAGTTCAATAGCCGTTAGTTCCATTGTATTTCCTGTATGGACACCCTTTATAGATTATGTGAACAGTAAAATAAATGAGATGAAGCGAGTGGGCAATAAGAACCTGATATTTATTAAATATAATTTTAAAATTACTTTAGTCAGACAGATCAGTAAGATGAAATAAAGAAGAGTTACAGAGTCACTAAAAGTGTGATACATACATGCAGGACATCATATTCACTCTGAAAGCATTTCCACATTTCTAAATAGTCAATTACACTTAAGAGTTCCCAGATGTACTTTCTATGCACCTTTGTTAAATGTAACAATTACAACCAAATAATGCAAATTTTGGCCCCTGAAGGCAATTAAATGGTTATTACAGACTTTTTCTGAGGCTTGCGTCTTCTTTACATTAGATCTTTAAATGGCAACATAATACACTTTAAAGACGCATGATGCTATACCTGGCTGATTTTAGCTTTTTTATAGTTGCTAGTTGTTAATTTAAATTATTTTTATGCACAAATTTTTCTATAAGAATTAGAAAGCTATCCCGTGAATTTTCAAACACTTCACCTACAGCGTACAACCTCTGCAACTTGGCTCATCACCTCAAAAACTACATTAAGACACCCAACAGTCCAAGCAGCACACAACAAATAAATGCCAAAACAAGACGCCCAAAGTCCGTGAGAGGGATGACCGGAGAACTGCAACTGGAATGTTGAGCTGTGAGTTAGATGGACATTTGAAGTTAGAGCACTTGTCATGGTCTCCAGTTCAACCTTCACTAGTTTTAAGAAACCTGTCAACCAATTAAACACACACACGTTTCTCAATCACTGCCCAGACTGTCAGAACGAGTCGCAACGTTTCACTTCCATCCCTGAAAGTCATCTCGACTCAACGTGCTAATTCAGCTTTAGAAAAATATGAAACAAACGATGGTTGTGTTTTCTTTATCTCCTAAATAGAATATTTTCTTACCACTGGCATTTTCTGCACTTGAATTATTTATTTTCATTAGGAAATACTACACGCACATCAGCTGAAAGATGGAAGAGGAGGGACAGAGGTTTGGGTTATGGTGATCTCCACAGCAGCTTTGTTTCCCTACTCCCACACTTCAGAGGGGCGAGGCAAGGAGAGCTACAGTTCTGCAACATCATCACAATATTTTACTTTGCCACAACATCACAGCGAGGTGGAAGGTGGGCGTTTGTGTGTGTGTGTGTGTGTGTGTGTTTCCAAAATGTATCCTTAGGTTTCAGGAGAGGGAAAAGGTGGAAAGAAGGTGTAGTGTGTAAAACTGCAGCTCCGAGCCTTTCAGTCGAAGGAGATGAGCTGCGCCTCCGTGTGGCTGGGCACAGCTTGAGGCGCCTGCTGTTGTTGCTGCTGCGGAGGCTGTTGTTGCTGCGCAGGACCACCAGGGGGGGCAGCCTAGAAATAATGAAAAAGTGGAGAAAAAAAAGAACATTTTGAAAGGACTGAAACTGAAATACAACCRAACCTGTGTGTCAAGCCCATTTTTTCCTCCTCTCTACTCTGCACTCATGTCAGCATCGGAAATACCAACAAATTAACAAATGAAAACAGAACCAAAAAAAAGATCAACTATAGAAGAAAGAAACTGAGAAATTGAACCATCAGCCACAAATMAGCCTGAGTCTTAGAGTTTGAAGACTAAATCTCAGCACAACCTAGAAAAAAGACACAGTTTAAAGAAGCTGAATTGCATACATGCATCGCAAGATTTTAAGAACAGTCATGCATTATACAAAATGAAATTATGAAAATATCTTCTAAGTGCGGTGTAGTGTATTTTGATTTATTTTGTTGGTTGTTTTTGTTTAACTTCTAAATTCTTCTGCTGTTTTTATATTTTCATAAATACAGTCTGATGTTTCAATGATTGCACTGATGAGACTCTTGTATTGTACATGTCGCTATGAAAAAGTAAAAGGTAAAATCCCAACATCCGTTTAAACCTTATTTCAGTGTAGATTTGACTTTATCCAGCAGAGGGCGCTGCTACTCTACCCCAGCCCTGTTGAACTGAGCAGAAATGTGGACGGGACCACTAACACACGAGTCTTATTTAGTTTTATTTGTGACACAACAATAATAATCGACTACACCAAACTCGAAGGAAAAGTACCGAAGGCTGTACCGGATCATCCAGCAGTATGATGCTTAAAACAAGAGAGCAGGACAACAGAACGGTAAGCTAAGTGTGGCTAACGTTAGCTTCCTCTCGTTGAGTTTAACTCTGTGTGAAAGAACAAAACAACACAAAAGTTACAGTCGCCACAAATATGAAGTTAATCTAATCTGTGTGACATAACCTGACCAGTAAACCAATCTAATGAACAGTAACTGACGTCAAATCTTGCCGTGCAGCCCAGCTAAGATAGATCCACAGCTAATGTAAACAAACAAACAATTGCCAGTACTCATTTGTATTGCATGTCTTTCAGGGATATTATGTTTAATCTTTAGCTTAAAATATTACCCTGTGTTTAAATGATAGTTTTTCTTCTTCAGGGTGGATTAAGTGTTTTACTTGTTTTATTCTTTTTTTTCCAAGTAGCAAATAAAGAGATTCCTGTTTTGTTATATTTTATAAATATGTCCAAGTTTAATAATGTGAGAGAAATCCACATTTCTCTGTTCATTCAGTCAGTGTTTACTCACACAGCTGGCACAATAAATTGTTAAAATAATACTGTACTTTTTTATTTAGAATGTAAAAATTTAGCCCTTCATGTCATAGAAAGAGCCTTGATTCAAGAGGAATGTCAGGTTTTTAGGAAAATTGCTGCTTATCAATTAATCATTGGCCGATCGATAAGATCAATCAACTTTAGATTAATCCATTAATCGATAACTTGCATCCCTAGTAGATATGGTGGAATAAATTTGCACGTGTTGAGAACTTCTGGTAAAATCTTCCACAACTGACCTGCTGATACATGGGCGGCTGGCCTGGCATGTAGGGCTGTTGGGGGGGCATGTTGGGATCCTGTCCGGGTAACGCTGAAATCATGTTCTGCATGGTGTACGGTTGGTAACTCATGTAGGCCACACCGTTGGCGGGGGCAGCCTGCGACATCTGGGGCAAACTTTGTGCCTGAGAAGCCACGTTCTGCACAGAACACAAACAGAACCGTTGGTGGGACAAATTTTAAATAGTTTGGTGAAAACTGCTGGGAAAAGGTCAGAGAATCCAGCTTGGGCGTTCAGTCAGACCTGGTACGGCTGCGTGGGCGTGGGCTGATAATTGGAGTAGGGGGGAGTAGTAGTGGGCGGGGCCTGTCCTGGAGGAGGCTGTCCATTGGTGCCTGCAGCCTGGTACATGTATGCATTAACCATGTTAGGATCTGGAAAGAAAAACAAAAACAGGAAAGAGTCACACACAAAGTTGGCCTTATTGTGGTTTTTTTCCCCTCATGTTCTGTGGCAATCAAAAAATAATTCTCCCACCTGTGGCAGCACCGGGCATAGCCTGGTACGGTCCTGGTGCGGTCTGCCCAGGCTGATTCATGTACATGTTGTGCATAGGAGAACCCTCCACAGAACCAGCAGGACTGAAGGTTCCTGGGTAGCTGGGTGGAGCACCAGGCTGGTATACCACCCCTCCAGCAACATTAGGAGGCAAAGACTGCATCTGTGGATCAAGTAAGTAATCACCTAAAAGACATTTAAAAGTGTGACCTGTGTTTTAGGGAGAGATGGTGACGGTCTGTACCTGGGCATAGGGCAAAGGGAAAGCAGGCATCTGCGCTCTCATTTGGATGGTGTGCTTCTGCTGCTCCAAGCGCATCTGCCTCTCCTTCTCCTGCTCCTGCAGGCGCTGAATGGCCAGCTGTCTCTGCATCTCCAGGTATTCCTGAAGTTCAAAGATTCACTTGAAGTCACTGTAATGAATACATGTCTGTTTATACTGTAAAGAATAAATTAATCACCTGCTTCTTCTGCCTCATGATCTCCAGCTTCTGTGCCAGCTGGATCTGCCGTTGTCTCTCAGCCTCCTCCGCAGCTCTGCGCAGCTTCTCTCTGTGCTCGTCTCGAAGCGCGTTGAGGGCAGCTCGAGCATCGCGCACCTGAGCCAGCTTGTCCTGCAGGCCCTCGTAGTACACTGACAAGATCCAGAACAGCACATTGAGAGACCGGACCTAAGACAGACGGGTCTAGGTACACACAAACCGAGACTCACATCGCTTTTCATCCAGCTGGTTGAGGATATCCAGCAGCTGTGGATGCATGTTGTTGATGGACTGGAAGAGCGAGAGCACCGCGCTGTCGTTGGTGATGCTGCGCCCACGCATGTGGTTGCTCTTCATGCGGTTAAGGAAGGTGGTGACGGCGTTCTGCAGAGCCTTCAGAAACTGCTCGTGGTTCTCCTCGGACTCACCGTTCTGGTACTGCTGCTGAAAGCAGAGCGGACAGAGCACATGTGAGTAGAGAGTTTGGACCAGCTCCACCTCAGCCGACGTAAAATAGGATTTCTGCCAGTTTTAAACACCTCCACTACGCTGACGGGTTGAACTGGGACATGAGTTTCCACCGGTTGGCTGATTGCTGGGAGGGGTTCAGCCAATGAAACGGGGGCTGGGGCTGAGGGGGTGGGACTCTTCCGAGCCTCTTCTTGTTTCTTCTCCCAGTATGTTCTGTTCAGGTAGCGGGCCAGCTGGAATTATGCAACGAGTTGTATCTAATAAATATAACATTTCAATTAACYATACAAAAAAAAGGAGCAATAAAAGTACCTCGGGGTCTACATCTTCAGCAGATGGAGCAGAGGAGTTCTGCAAAGAATACATGTTTTAAATTGATTATTATTAAAACATACCCTTAATCTGATATTTAAAAAAAATGTCTGGTTTTGTTAAAACCGTTGAGTCTCACCACAGGAGAAGTGTAAAGGGTGCTGACAGGTGGGGCTGAAGAAGTCACCGGGGTGGGATCAGCTTTGGGATACACTGAGTAAAAGTTCTTCTGTCGCTGAAAGAAACCAGGTTTAATTTATTATTTACAAACTGACGGTAAAAACGATTTATTTAAATTTCATCCGTGCAACTTACCATCCGCTCTTTCTCCTCTGCCTCGCTTTGGGACAGAGCGATGGCCAGCTGRAGCTCCTCCTCCTCCTGCAAAGCTGCCTCATCTCTCTTGGGGGGCATCTGGTCGTCAAAAATATGTGARGATAAACATGAAGATGTAAGAAGAAGCAAGTTTAAAATTCTACGAATGTATGAAATAACTAAGAACCCTTTGTTTTCCAACGTTGTTGTAAAAATAATTACCTGTGACTGCTGGGACAGCGGGCTGGTCAGGTACTCAGGTGGCAGCTCAGAGGGGCCTGTAGCAGGAGCTTTCCCTTCAGTTTTCCTAAGTTGAGGAGAGAGGGAGGGGTGGCTGGTGAGGAAAGGGATCAGGGAGGACACACAACCTTGGAAATTAGACAAGAGTGTTCTGCTCAAAAGAAACTTTACTGGAAATGTTTACAAGTCAATAAATTAATCTTTAGGTATGCATCTCAACACATAATATTGAGTAATGATATGTGTGTCACTGCATGTCTGAATAAATAAGTTGACATCATTTACACCAGTGATTCCCAACCATATGAGGATATTACAGGGGGTACGTGGAAAAATTTCCCAGGTATGTAAAAAACAAAATAAAAATAGGACTGAGATATGTAGGGCCCAATGRGGAAAATACAGACGGAATCACGTAATTGAGATGAAATGGAATCCTGTATAAAATGAGGAAAGTCATGGAATTTGCTCATTTGGGGTATTTGATGTATTTTGGATGCTGCTGCTTCCTTCACCTGCCATTACCTGGTTTAATTACTTATTCACTTTCAAGGCAACATATTTATCTTWATGTTTAATTTGAGCTGAAAGGAATAAAATGCCTGAGAAGTAAGCATTCTAGGGGGTTAAATAAGGAAATAAGTTGAATTAAGTTAGGAACAACTTGGCTAAAGATGATAAAAATGTTGGAAGATTGGTAAAATTTGATTTGTTGTATGAAAATACATAATAGGCATTTAAACAAGCTGCTGGTTGAGTAGTTGTAATCTTTTTTATTGCTATTAGATATTTTTATTTTTTTGTTTTGCTGACCCCTAGTGTGTAAAATTATTTATGTAAATGTATGTATGTGTGTCTGCTCCCTTTCATTTAATGATTTTGTGTTGTGTTGAAAATTGTTTTGTTTTTTGATTAAATGTTTTATTTTTTAATTAAATGAAATAAATGAATAAATAAAAAAATGAAAAGTAAAAATAAAAAATAATCATTACGTTTGACAGAGAGGGTACTAGTGGTATGACAAAATAGCTCAGGGGGTACACAAGTCTAAAAAGGTTGGGAACCACTGATTTACACTAATCTACAGGTAGGATGTTAAAAATTAATATATAAATACAATTAACATTTTTTTCTGGTCATCTGGATTGGAAAAATGTTGGCTGATTTTATTATCAACATATTAACAAAGTCTAATTTATTTTTTTTAATAATCGACATCTTTAAAATTCCCAAAATACCGAACAAACACTGCTGAAAAAATACACTCGAAGATAACAGTAAAACAAATCTTCTTACTAAAAAAAAACACAAAAGTACTCAGTTAATAAGAATAAATAATAGCTGGATATGAAACATTACGATTTAAAGCTGCTCGTTAAACAAGAAGTCCTACATGTTAACAGAATATCTGATTCTACTTGCATAGAATCAGAAAATTAAGGAAAAACCCAACTTAAAAAGACACCATTATTAGCAGTCCATACATATCACAATATAAAAACACAACCATGACCATGTTGTGAAACCAGAAAGAACATTTGCTTGTATTTGCATGTCGTCCTTCTCAGATCAAACTGCTCTTTGTGGAGAAAAATTTCATCCATTCATTGCAGTTTGAGCCGACAGAGTATTTTTCTTCACAGGTTGGAACTATAACATTTATCATCGGCCTTCACTAACAAAAACAGTTTATTTCCGTCTTTATATCAGGAGACTCACTTGTTCAGCTGCTCAAAGCAGGGCTCGCACACGCGCACTTCCTTCTCAATCCCAAACTTTGGAATGGTTGAGTACTTAGATGAGCACTTCCCACAGAAAATTTGGCCACAAGCTCGACAATGGTGCTAAAAAAAAAAGGCGCAGAACACAGAGATCARCTTCACAGCGGCTCGAAGCGCATACTTCACACAAACAGCTTTTACGGAGTAAAGAAAATCATAAAAACTTTATTGCTCTACCTATAAAACCCAGCCTACCTTTCTTGTCATAACTCCAAACTGAACTCTGCACCTGTGGCAATCCTCAGCATCAACCCAGTCTGGGGCCTGCATGACGCAGACACCACATGTTAGATATGATGACACAACAAACACAAGAACTCAGTACACGTCTCTGGTTCAGTAAAAATACCTAAAAAGCAAAACGTACCACACAAACCATGTAACATATTTAAAAAAAATAATAAAAATACAGGAAAATCGAGAAAATAAATCTCACTCTCTCTGCTGCAAACATGGCATCGCTCTCCTTAAACTCAGGGAAAACATGACCTATTGAAAAAAGAAAAAAAAGTCACTGTGCAGAATTATGAAAAAAGCAAAAAAAATAATAATTCTATGTAAGGATTTCTTTCTAGTGAGACTGAGACAAACGTGTACAACAAACACGCTTACCTTCCACTTTCATGATCTGATATGTGTCTTGAACCACCTTGTATTTGGGTTCATTGCGGAAGGCGTGAGCCCAGGCTTGAATCAGGTACAAAATCTTGTTTCTGACATTTGGTTCTGTCTGCTTCTGAAAGTTACGGTAAAACACAATAGAACACAAAACACACAGTCCTTTAAGACCACCTGCCCTTTTTTTTTTACGTTCTCAACAATGAGCAAAAAGAGAAGAAGTGAGGTGGGAAGTCCCTTGTGTTTATATCAAGTGAAAACACTCCTGTCACAAGACAATGACATCATCAGGAAGTTGCAAACAACACAGGCCGCAGAGCCTGTGTCACATGGTACCTCGAGGATCCAATCAAATATTGATGGATCCTGCTGTTAGACCAATCAGCTGCCAGAGAGCGAGGAGCAGTGACTGAGTCAGAAACAAGGCGGGTAGGATCATAAGACTTTAAACACTTTTGAGTCGGACAACTCAAACTGTTAGAAATTTAATATATGAAACATTCAGTACAAAATGTAGGTCTTTCCTGATTAGGAAAAATAAAATAAAAAATAAGCATAATAGGCCAAATATCTATGCATTTCTCATCCCAACATTCACACAAGCACACCCATGAAGTGCTTTTCTCTCAATCACACAATAATAACCAAGACAATGTAAAAGTCTTGGACACGTGGCAAAGCTGGAAACCGAATCCACAATATTCTTAACATTAAATTAAGTCCATTAGAGCAGTATATTTACAACAGATAAGAAGATTCAATAGGTGAACAAACAGATTACCTTAAGAAGCTCCTTCAGCTCCTCCATCGTTTGTTTACTTGCAACTTCATCATGCACCGTCTGCCCACAGTTCTTCACCACTGACTCCAGGACCTGGACAGTAAAAGGTACAGTCACACTGATAATACACCTGTTCTGGCTGCACAGGTAACAAAAGATTTGGCAACTTGTTTACACATTTACTTTAAGAAGGACTCCTACCTTTTTGCATTGGGAGCTAATTAATTTACAAACATGCTAGCAAATATAAAATGTAGACTGTGAATTGTTTACATAATATAAGTACATTTAAAGACTTATTTGGTTTGCAGTATTTCTTCGCTAGTATGACTATCCTCAACATTATACTGTAAATTCCCGTGTAAATGTGCCTTACCTCAAGTGCATAGAGAGCCACATGGGGATTTTTATCATTCAGCTTCCTCTTAATGCACCCAATAGCATGTTTGGCTCTTGCAGATGAAAAAAATAAATAAAATCAGTGTGTAAACAAAGTGATCGAGACAGACTGCACAAAGAGAGTAACGTCTGCACAATTTTTGTTTGTAAAGCAATTAATTTAGCTGAATTTTAAGGTTTCACTGCTGAATAACTCACTGTGTGTCTCCTTGTCGAATGAGATCACAGATCTGGAGAATCGATTCCCAGTCGGTTTCCAGCAGCAGCTGACTGGTGGCTTTATCTGTATTTAACACAAATAGTTCAGCATTGTTTAAAACATCAATAACTGTCGCTCCTCAAAGTTTCTGAAACCTTCAGAATAAAACTAAAAGATACGAACCTTTATGTACACCTGTTAAATTCAACCACATAATTTATTAAATGTATCTGTGTAATGATGTTTTTTTTAATTCTTGCTTAAAAGAATTCAAGATCACATATTTTCTTAAATGTCTTAATTTCGTGTGTTTTAGGTCAAACAAATTATCAAAAACTTGAGCATTATTATTAGAATAAACTAAAATAAAAATGTTAAATAGTTAACTATCATTTAAGGTTGAATGGTACTAAAGATACTTTTTTAAAAACAACAAAACTAAACTCATGAGAATGAGTTCAGATAAGTTTATCTAGTTATAAGTCTTTCAGTCTGGGAAGGACCTAACAGATATTATGACGTTGACGTTTTTATGTTTAGTAAGTTTGTGAATCATTCTTGTTTGATTCTTTGAGGTACAAATGGAGTCACTAATTGTTTTAAACATTATGTGAAGTAAATAAGTTCTTGGTCGGGCTTATAAAATAAATAATTGGGCCTTCGAGGAAAAAAAGAAAACAGGCAGCTAACTAGCTGGCCTAAGAACCACAGCCCTGTCAAAACAAAACGCTACAAAACATCGCACTTTTAAAATATAATTACAATTATTTAGCAGGTCAGTGTGTTATTAACTTACCGAGAAGCCTCTCAAATGTGCCTCCACCTTTTCCCATAGTTTCTTTTGAGTCTCCGGGAGGCTGTCGAGGCGTTTCGTTTGACGAGCGGATCCCGATATTTCTTCTCACAGCTCAGGCTAACCTGTTAGCTTACGTGTTAGCACAGCTGCAGCGCTTCCTTATTCCCACTTCCGCTGCAAGAAAGGAAATGTCGCCCTCTAGCGACAAAACACCGAAGCTACAGAAAAACACAGCCCATTTGAATTTGTGGGAAATATTTTAAAGGTCAAAATAATAATAATAATAATAATAATAATAATAATAATTTTGTTTTAACTCTGTAAACAGCCAAACAAAGCGCATTGCTGAGTCCTACATTACATACCCCAAAAGTTGAAGGTTTTTATGTCAGGATTGTGACCTGTTAAAGGGTTTAAAAGTAATTTAACACCCTTGAAAATCTTGTTTTCCTGACCTCAAGAGGTTTACTTTTTTCTGTGGTAGAATAACATACTCCAAMAAGATTGAGCTGCTGGGTGTGGTTACAGGTGGAACAAAACTCTTTTTCACTCATGTTTTCAGAGGCAGAATCACAGTTGACCTCACAATGTTCCTTTTTAAAATGCATTTAATAAAACACCAGTGTAATCCTGCTTTGTTTGTATAATAATAAAAGAGATACATTTACCTTGTGTTTGTTTGTCTTTACTTAAGCAAAAACTAATGCGGTTTATAAAGGGACAAAAATCTTCAAACTTAAGTAACATTGTTTTTTTAG